CCACCGCCGCCGCCGCCGCCACCGCCGTTTGGTGTCGCAGGGACGGCAGCACCGAACGCGGAATCCGCAGAGTTCTCGCGCGAGTGCGAGATCGAGGGGCTCTTGCTACCGGTGGACGGTGGATTGAAGAAGGAATCCGGCAGGTTGCGCAGGCGCAGCGGCACCTGCAACGGCCGCTTCGAGTCGGGCTTCAGGACGGTGTCGAAGAGAGCCTGGAGATCGGACTCGGAATTCTGGTCGACCCTGACGACGGGATTACTCTTGGACAACTGGTCCACGTCTTGATTCAGCGCCATTTTGGATCACACGTTCGCTGCTCTCTTACTACTCTTCCTCTGCCTGTTGCTTACGTCCTCTTCGTCTCTCTCCCTTTCCCTCTTCGTATCACCGCGTCCTCGTCGCTCTTTCTACGCCTATCTATTCGCCGCTTCCGCGCTCCGCTCCGAGCTCCAACTTTGCTCCGCGGATCACCTTCTTCACGACGCCTTACTTATATGCGTCGTATCACCCGCACACGAATCCGTACTCCGTCTCTCCCTTTCTTTCCCTACGATCGTCTCATTCCTATAAATGATCACTGTTTCCTTTTCCACCTGTACGCGATAGAATAATACACAACTCCGTGATTGCCGCCGTCGTCGCCGTCGCCGTCGCCGCCGTCACCGTCGCCGCTGTTGGGCACCAGCAGCGTTCCCCGCGATATCAATGGGGATAGTCTCTCTCTCACAGTCTCTTCTCACCGCCCTCCGCCCCGACAATCTCCACACTGCGCGCTCCACAGATCGCTTCCCCGATCTCCGTCAATCTCGGTGTTACGGGTAGCCCACACCGTTCGAGACTGCGAGAGTCACTCTTCTCGAGGAGTCGGTTCCACCTCTCCGACGATACGACTCGCCCTACCTGAGTGGACACGTGACGAGTGCGAGAGCACAGGAAACGAGACCTGAGAAAAAAAGAGTAAGAGAAAGAGAAAGAGAGAGAGAGAGAGAGGGAAGGAGCACTCTCTCAATCTTCCAGAGATCCCGCCTACCGCTCGCTCGCTGCCCGCGTCGAGCGTTCGTCTAGCAATTCGACGATAACGCACGACGTCGTACTCAATGTGTTGTCGTACGTGTCGTTCAACAAGTCTCCTCCTGAGATGCTCCGGAACGGAGCGCGCGCGATGCACATTCGCCAAGTGAACGAATTCACTATCGTCGTGTCTTCGTGATCTCCTCACGCTCCACTGTTCCTCGATACTTCACTACAAGGTACAACGACGACGTCGGCGGCGACGGCGACGGCGACGGCGAGGAACATGATACGCAAAACGGATTTATGGCACCGCGAAAGCGCGACGGCCGGATGGCCGAGGGTCGTCGAGCATTAAAAGGAGCACTTTGAGGAAGTCGCGATCACGAGCCGCGACCCAACGCGACGCGGCATGCGGATTGTTGCGGGCGAGCGTGAGGACTGAGGATAAGGAGGAGGAGGAGGAGGAGGAGGAGACGCACGGGCTTATTCTCCTCTGGAAGAGTCGCGACCCGACTCGGCCACACACCGTCCCGGTCTCCGTGCGAGAACTGCTGCTCCGACCCGACGAGAATGGCTCTGATACCTCGTCGCTGCGTTACGTCGACTCGACTCGGCCCGCTCGGCTCACTCGGCTGGCAGCGATCTGGCAACAACCTGCGTCGCATTAATGATGCCGCAGCTTTGGCAACTCTGCGCTCCGCTGTGCTGTGAGGCCTGTGAGCCTTCGGACGGAAGGGAAAAAGCGGTCTCTCTCTCTCTCTCTCTCTCTCTCTCCCCTTCCCCCCCTGTCACTGCGTGGTGTCGGATCTCGCCCCAAGCTAACCCAAGCCAAGGAGAGTGGCGTCAGCCTGTTGCTCCTTGGCGAGTCAGTGGCTCCGAAGTAGGCGCCGCTGGTGGGGACGACGCGCCGGACGGCAAAGGGACTCTCGGAGGCTTTGACGCGTCGGCGGATGGAGGGGGGGAGGAGTACGCTTAGGCGAATACTCAATGCTACATCATGCTTTTCCGTCAACAGTTTTCTCTAAAAGCTGTTTCGATTACTTTCATTGATGATTAAGTAATTCAATCTGCAGAATTACTTAAAGCAACATTTCTAAATTAATATATAATATATTGTCCATACGTTAAACAACAAGACATTAATGATTCTATCCATTGATAAAATAATGTATTATTACTTGACAAGTTAATCATCGTTGATCACTGTTAATCAAAGTTTAAATGTATCAATTTACAAGAAATTTTTTAGGCTTAACACGTTTGGCTCTGATACTTTTTAATCACTTTTATAGCACAGATTTTAAAACATTTTAAGTAAAAACTCACTGTTACAACTTTGTTTTACATTACTCAGTAGAAAAATTTTTAAGAAAAATTCTAAAAATATTTTAATCGTTGATCGTGAATCGTTGATTACGATATTGACGTGTGTAATAATAGCGATGCGTTAACTATTCAACAACTTTGAGAGTTATTCATGTTAATTTTGTTGAAATAAGATTTACTTTAATTCAATTCAAATGGGATTTTTTAAATTCAAATGAGATTTAAATTTCGCGATGGTCATTCAAAATATATCGAACTGCGATTCTCGAAATATCGAAACGTTCGAACGAGATACAACTGAGAACCTCTGATAGGAGTCCGGAACACGAAACAACCACTTCTGATTGGTCCGCCATGTTTTAACAACTCTTGAAAGAAAGAAAGAAAGAGAAAGAGATAAAAAAGATAGATAGCAGTTTTAAATTTACCGCTTGTTGTGTGACGTCACACTTCGACAATTTTGATTGGTCGCATGCGCGTGAGCATACCCTTATCCTTATACCATGAGTACGCTTAGGCGAATACTCAATGCTACATCATGCTTTTCCGTCAACAGTTTCCTCTAAAAGCTGTTTCGATTACTTTCGTTGAAGATTAAGTAATTCAATCTGCAGAATTACTTAAAGCAACATTTCTAAATTAATATATAATATATTGTCCATACGTTAAACAACAAGACATTAATGATTCTATCCATTGATAAAATAATGTATTATTACTTGACAAGTTAATCATCGTTGATCACTGTTAATCAAAGTTTAAATGTATCAATTTACAAGAAATTTTTTAGGCTTAACACGTTTGGCTCTGATACTTTTTAATCACTTTTATAGCACAGATTTTAAAACATTTTAAGTAAAAACTCACTGTTACAACTTTGTTTTACATTACTCAGTAGAAAAATTTTTAAGAAAAATTCTAAAAATATTTTAATCGTTGATCGTGAATCGTTGATTACGATATTGACGTGTGTAATAATAGCGATGCGTTAACTATTCAACAACTTTGAGAGTTATTCATGTTAATTTTGTTGAAATAAGATTTACTTTAATTCAATTCAAATGGGATTTTTTAAATTCAAATGAGATTTAAATTTCGCGATGGTCATTCAAAATATATCGAACTGCGATTCTCGAAATATCGAAACGTTCGAACGAGATACAACTGAGAACCTCTGATAGGAGTCCGGAACACGAAACAACCACTTCTGATTGGTCCGCCATGTTTTAACAACTCTTGAAAGAAAGAAAGAAAGAGAAAGAGATAAAAAAGATAGAATATCTTCTCTGATGTGATTCTGTTAAAACTAGAGATCCTGCATACAAAATGCGGCTTGTGTCTAAACTTTTATTAGAGGATCTCTAGTTACAACGATTGTGAGTGCAACTAACACTGAGATGTATTAAAAACGACAGGTTTTACGGAAGTTTGCGTGACTGTTAAAATTTAAGTGATTAAGCATAAAAAAACTCATAATATACTACTAACTTTATGATTTGTTAGTTTCGTAGATATATATATATATA